TTGTTTGTTTTTGCGAAAACAGGCAAACACAAGGAAGAAGCACTTCAACAAGGGTCTGTGCACCCCCTGCTGAAGGAAAGTTAAAATCACGATTTACATCAGGGGATAAAAGCAAACCAGAAAAACTCAGTGCTAACACTCATCGTGTTCCTCGTGGCTATAAAAGTCTTTAACCACATTTATCCTAGCTTGAATTTTTCTTGAACAAAGATCTGATATAGATCAGCTCTTATGGCTTCACAGGAAGGTACAGCTATAAGAAAAGCCTGATTTGTCTCGTACTGGGACTCTGTCAGAAAAGGCAAAATGTGCTCCTTAGAACCTGCGGCTGTTGAAAAATACGTGGGCCTGCACATGGCTCAAGGAGAACCATATACGGGAGTAAAGCCGGACACCCCGTCTCCATTTTGTATCTGTGTCTTCAGCTCTGAGCCATGCTCGCCTGCAGTCACTTTGTGGCCATCTTGCAATCCAGGAAGCACAGGGCTGGACTGATGGACAAACATCCCGGGAGAGGAGTCAAAGCTACCGGGCAGCAATAACTGTCTTAAGATAATTAGCAACCAGTCAACCTCTGACCAGCCCATTCCTGTGACCAGAACTGTTTAATAATTACATTGACCTCCTGCCCCCTGTCTCCCATCCTTTCTCAATGCAAGCCTTAAGCACACAGATGGGCTGAAGTGCTTGGTGCCGCATTACCATGTCCTTGCTCTGCTTTGTGCCACTGCTTGTCTCTTTATGTGCCCTTTTTGGGGTAGCGGGGCTGGACTTGACCTGAAGGGCCTCTGGAGTTGGGCCTGCGATCTGTAATTCTCGCTACAATGCTCACTGGATTTATTAAGAAAATCAACTGAAGCTGGGTGCTGGTAGCTTACTCCTGTAATCCTAGCTACTTAGGAGGCTGAGATCTGAAGATCTCAGTTTGAAGCCATCCCGGGCAGGAAAGTCTGTGAGACTGTTATCTCCAATTAACCACCAGAAAACTGGAAGTGGCACGGTGGCTCAAAGTGGTAGAGCGCTAGCCTTGTGGGGGGAAAAAAGCTCAGGGACATAGTGCCCAGGCCCTGAGTTCAAGTCCTGCAAATGGATTGGATGTAGCAACATGTAGCTCCATGACTAGCTTAGAGGAGTTAAAAATACCACCACTTTCTAATATCTCTCACAGAGTAGGTTACAAAATGCCTTCCCAGGCATCTCATTGGATTTCAATCCAGTCTTGAGAGATGTGATTATCACCCATTTTCCAGAGGGGTCCTGAGTCTGAGAAGGGTGGAGATGCTGGTCTCATGACATCCACAGTCTCTGTGGCTCCAGGGTCAACTGTTTCTGCCTCCTCCTTGTCTCCCTATTGGTCACCTCGTGTTGCGTTCTCCAAGCTCGGTGAGGTTAAAATTAGAGGGGGCAGTCACAGCAAATCCTATCATGGGCATCTTCTCTGATTACTGTTGACAGCTGATGATGGGAATTACTAAGGCTGAGTGCATGACAGCAAATGGGTTAACAACCTCTTTAATAGCTTTCTTTTCCCAGGACTTTCCCCGGGGTATTACACACTGACACAGGGGCTGTGCGCATCAGGCAAGTTGGCTCAGGGTGAGACAGTGACTCACTTTCCTCAGAAAGTGAACTTTAAAAAAAAAAAAGCTGAGCTGGGTCAGTGGTCAAAGAGATTTACAAGCGAGGAGCAGCGTGACCCCTCGTCCATGTTTGCTCATGACTCGGTCGGTCTGTTTAATTTCAAGGAAAGCAAACGAAAAACCAGGAGTCAAATGTTTGCTGAGGTCTGAGTTTCACGGGCAGAGCAAACGTGCGAGGGACGTGCTATCTGGAGGAGCAATTGCACACCCGTGTGCACGCCGTCTCCCACTTCGCCCTTTCCTACTTGGTTACCAAGCACGCCTTCGTTCAGCCTACCAGACCCAGGGCCCACGCCGTGTTTCCTGATACCCTTCCTCCCAGCTCCCAGGGCTACTGGCCTCAGTGCCCTTCCCTCCAGCCCTGTGTTGTAACAAGTTGCATGGTAGTTTCTCCCAGAAAAATCGTGGCTAGCAGAGAGGAGATTCAGAAGTCTACACTATAGGTGAGAGGTTTTTAAACTGTTTTCATCACAACTTACTTATAGTCATAAAGACATAATCCAGTTATGAATGTATATTGATGGATGAAAATGATAGACATAGATGATAGAGATAGATAGATAGAAAAAATAGAAGTAGGTAGATACTAGAGACAGGTAGGTAGGTAGGTAGATACAGAGATACATAGATGATAGAGGTAGGTAGATAATAGAGAGATGAAGATAAAGGATTGGTGATAGATGGATGATTGATTGATAGATGGCAGGAGATAAGTGGAGCCCTAGAGATAGATAGATGATAAGTAGATTTAAAATAAAATCTTTCAGTCATGGGGCTTAAACTCTGGGCCTAGGCACTGTCCCTCAGCTCTTCAGCTCAAGGCTAGCACTCTACCACTTGAGCCACAGTGCCACTTCTGGCTTTCTGAGTGGTTTATTGGAGATAAGAGTCCCACAGAGTTTCCTGCCCAGGCTGGCTTTGAACTGAGATCCTCAGATCTCAGCCTCCTGAGTAGCTGGAATTACAGGCATGAGCCACCAGCACCTGGCAATAGGTAGATTTATAAATTTGAAACTCAACTTCACAAAAGAAATCTATCCGGAGCTGGGAAGTTGGCTCAGTGGTAGAGCACTTGTCTTGAATGCCTGAGGCCCTGGGTTCGATTCCTCAGCACCACATAAACAAAAAGAAAAAAGCCAGAAGTGGCGCTGTGACTCAAGTGGTAGAGCGCTAGCCTTGAGCTGAAGAGCTGAGGAACAGCGCCCAGGCCTAGAGTTCAGGCCCCATGACTGGAACCCCCCCCCCCCAAAAAAAAAGAAATCTATCGAAGTGGCGCTATCTGGGATTTGTTTTCCAGCTTATTCTTCATCGTTTCTTGTGATAGGTACTGTGGAGTACTACCTATTGGTTTGCTGATGTGTCAGTGAATGATGACAGCTAACATTTTGAAAAATACCGGTGTGATTGACACTTCATCGGTCACACTCTTGGCCCCTACTTACTCTGCCTTCCTCTTCAGATCCTTCGAGTGCCTGGAACCAGAGGAGGTTTGACTAGGGCATGGGGCAGGACAGTTGCAGAACGTGTATGAGCACAGAGAACGCAATAGAACGCTTGTCCCCTTCTGGCTCCTTGGACTGGGTTGAAACTTTCTTATAAGGAGGACTGAGTGCCAGAACTAACCAGGCTGTTCACAGAACGTTTCTGAAATTATGGGCATAGACAAGTCCACTCTGAGGGTCTCGATCAGGCATCTGCCAGCTACAATCCTTGGTCCAAATCCACATATCTACTTATATTTATTCATTCATTTTAATTTTTTTTTTTTGGTTAGTCATGGGACTTGAACTCAAGGCTTTGGCTCTGTCCCTGAGCTCTTCCGCTCAAGACTAATATTCTACCACTTTGAGCCACACAGCCACTTCTGGCTTTCTGGTGGTTAATTGGAGATAAGAGTCTCATGGATGTTCCTGCCCCGATAGATTTGGAACCTTGATCCTCCGAGCTCAGCCTTCTGAGTAGCTGGGATTATAGGTGTGAGCTGCCAGCACCCTGCTCTACTTATTTATTTATATATTGTCATGACTGAATTTAATGGCTTCAATCAAGACTAAAGGACCCAGAAATCCAATAATATTTACTCTCCAGCTCTTGGCAGGGTAAGTTTGCCAACATCCTGGTATAGATGAGCAGTGTGTGCTCTCTCTCTGCCAGAAAACTGTCATGGCTTGGAGGCCTCTTGGAGCCACTGGCAGAACAGGACCTTCCCAGAATCATCCACCTGGGTGTGTGGGCCTGCAGCGGGGTCTGAGCAGCAGAGGCCGAGCAGACAGGTGTGGTTGGGACCACCACTGCAGACCAGTGCCTCCACATGGCAGTGTGACTTTGACTGAAGGGCTTCTTGCGTCAGCTACTTTGGGCCTCTTTTGCATTGTCAGGGCCTGGCCCAGGAGAGACATAAAAGGTACTAAATACACGTTTATGGGAACCTCTCTTAAATCAGAAAAGCATTGGTGGCATGTGATGATGCAGAACTTGAGTTTGAGCACGACCCCTCTTGAAGGCAATCAGCAGCAGAGAGCCTGCTCCTGGCTTGGAACTCAAGACATTTTCCTCCTGCTTGGAAATGGAGACATCTTTTCCCAGCTGCGTGGGCAACCCATAACAGAGATGATGATGACGATGCTTATGAGAATAATGATTATAGTTCGCATTGCTCAAAGGCCTACCCATGACCAACCATTCCTCTGGGTCTCTTGGAGGTAGCAATTCCTTTTCATTCAAAGAAGCTCTCTTTGAAGCACATGTTACAGATGAGGAAACTGAGGCACAGTGAGGTCACGTGACTTGCCTCTGGGGAAACACTTGGGGAGCTGACCAGAGTTTGGAACTGGGTTGATGTGTATAGGAGGGGAGAAACAAGTTGAATGGCTGGGATGAAAAAAATAAATGCTGGCCAGCTGTTCTCTGAGCCCTGAAGCCAGAGCAGGGATGGAGCCAGGAGAGCTCGCTGGAGGATGGCTATGCCCAGAGCAGCCCAGCAGAGTGGAGACCACAACAGCAGAGATGGAGGTCTGGCTGCCTCCCCAGGAAGAAAGCAAGAGAAGGAAGTGGAGGAGGCTCCCTAGAAGAGGAATGGTGAATAACCACAGACATGTCTCTGGAGGCATGTGTGGCCTTGAGCTCCATAACTAGGTATCTGGGGGAGCTGTGGAGGTATGACCATGGGCAGGGGACATTGGATCTCTCAGTTACTCATCTATGTGCCCCAGATCCCTGGTACCTGGGTGGAGTATAGAGAAGGTGGTTGGTCCATGAGTTTTTCCTAGGCTTACCACCCATTCTAGATGAACCACTAGACCCCAGTTAGCTAACCTCTACTCACAGTGACCCAGAGGGACTAGGAATCCAGGCGTAAACTCCACCAGCACATCAAGGATGGCTTTAATGGTAATCAGACCATGTCATCAGATCTGCCCAGCTTCCGCCCCACCAGGAAGAAAAGTCCTTCGTTGTCAGCCACGGTGGAGGAATAACTTTGAGGGATGACTTCAAACTGCTCGATGGTGTAGCCAGCCTCTTCCACAGCGGCCCTCACTGCCTCCCGGCTCAGGGACAGGCTGGAGAATCTCTGCTCCCCAACCATGTAGTAGCTGCTCTTCAGAGCATCCACGATCACCAGGAAGCCCCCGGGCTTGAGCAGGCTGCTGAGGTTCTCGAGGGCTCGGCGGTAGGCCGGGATGTCTGGACAGGCCGCATCCAGGCACAGGGAGCTGAGCAGGCAGTCAGCCAGGGGCACGGGGACCCCACCCAGAGGCTGGCTCTGGGTCACGTCACACTTCAGCACGTGCTTGACCGCCTGCCTCAACTTCTCCTCCTTCTCCCAGCTCTCCACTCTGCAAAACACAAACCAACCAACATTGCTGGCTGCCCGACTCAGGGAGATCCCAGATGTCATTGGTGAGGACTGAAAATGGCGGTGTGGTCCAGAAATGTGTATCTTAAAGGGCATCCCTGTTAGGAAAGAAGAAAGGAAGGACTCTTTGGGAGCTAAATGGAGCTGGGCAAAACCTTTTTAAAATCAATTCTTGTGTCTGGTCACATGGAAATGACAATAATAATTTCTTGCTGCCTGTTTCCACAATGTGTTGCCTCCCCCATGAAATTAATCTCCCTCTACTGCTTTATTATTATTGACTTATTTATTATTATTACTATCCTTTTCCCCTCCATCTAACTACAAGAAATGACCACTGGACCCTTACATAGCAAGTCATAAAGGGATCGAAACGTTGAAACATTATCTTTATAGTAGCTGCTGGTTAAGCAAGAGTGTGGAATCATGTATTCTTTCCTTTCCTTTTTTTCTTTCCTTCTTTTCGACAATACTAAGGATTGAACCCAAGGCCTTGAGCATGGTAAGCAAGTGCCATATACCATCCCCATTCCTTTTTGTTTTTTTTTTTGGTTTGGTTGAGTGTGTTGTTGTGGTGATGGTTATTGTGTTTGACATAGGGTCTTGCTAAGTCTTGCTTAGGTTGGCCTCAAGCACCAGGAATGGAGCAGACTGTAGCTCCATTTTGGATACATCCCAGTGGAGCTCTTTTGAGACTGATGAATAGGAACGTTTGTAATTGGAAGGAAATGACTAGTTGAAGGTTCTCTGTCTTCCCTGCTAATTCCTCCAGAGAGATTAAGTAGGGTGATTGTGTGTGTGAGTGTGTGTGTTGTGTGTTGTGTATGTGTCTGTACCAATACCAGAGCTTGAACTCTGAGTTTGCTTATGGCTTTTTGGTGGATAATTACAGATAAGAGTCTCACAGACTTTCCTGTCCAGGCTGGCTTTGAACCACAGTCCTTAGATCTCAGCCTCCTGAGTAGCTAGGATAATAGGCGTGGGCCACTGGTGCCTGGCCAAAAACATCTCTTTGAGAGAGAGGTTTCTTTAATAAAGGCCTCACCAAATATATTCGCCATGACTTCAAGATCCTGATTTTGAGAAAGAATATCAACATGCTTTTTGCAAGCCACAAGACTCGAGAGGCACAAGGAAACAGAGGCAATCTGCTGGTGTACAGGACAAATTTGGCAATTGTGTGCATCTGGGGACAACACACTCGCACATCTTTTTTAAACAGATGTGGAGGGCGTGGTGTGGAGAGCTCTGACTCTAGGGAACCGGCAGCTCTGTAGGTGCTAGAGTTCTAATGTGTCAGGTGAGAGGAGGTCTGGCGGAGCTGCTCACTACAGTGGCAACTGGAAGTCTCACCTGGCTACCCTGGGGGCAGAGAAGAGACACCTGCCTAGCACACCTGTTTTTGACTCCCACTCACTGGTGCCCTGGCTCCCCCATGGGAAGCTCTATGCTAGTGCTTTGTTTCAGTGCTTTTTCAACAGTAACTTGCAGATAATCCCTGGCAGATCTCCAGTTGTGTATGGAGCCAGCTTTGACATGATGTGGAAGCCACTAGTCTGCAGACCACAGGCTCAATAAGGCTGTGTCTATGATTTCTGCAGGGAAAAGCTCCTTTTCCTCTGTTCATGACATAAACTGAAAGTAGTAGGAGCTTCCCGTTCCATTTTCTGAATTAATAAAGGAAGAATGTGGAGGAGGAGTTTGGTACGGATGCCTCACAACTTTCTAGCAGCTGTGACGATGAGTGATTTCTCAACGTACACATCACACCCCAGAAAGCAGAGGAAGAAGAGACAGTTCCTCTGGTCCTTGCAGCCATCAACCCAAGAAACAGCTGCAGATAAAGGAAGCAATAATCTTGGGAAGAATAGGTTGTAGCTTGATAGCCACGCTGGAGGATGTGAGAAAGACCTAAGTTACATGGAGATCAATCACAATCTTTTTCCAAATAGCTGAAGCCCTGAGGTCTTGGGTAAGGATAAAAATGAGAAGACAGGAAGAACTCAGCCCAAAATACAGACCCTCATTTAGACACAGTGATGAGAAAGGGAAGAGTATCTTCAGACCCATGCTGATTAGACTGGTCTGGGATAAGTAATGATTTTTAGCATCCTGCTGGATTCTAAGGGCTCCTTTCTGCATGAGATGGAAAGGCCCGTGAAGGCTCAGGAAATTGAGAACAGAGTCCTGAAAGCCTTCTTGACATATGATTTAGATTTTAGAAAGTGTGTAGTCTAAAGAACTCCTTTTTTTAAATTGAGTTTCTCCTAAACTTCTAATAATTCTGGTAAATTCCTTAGTACATAGTTGATTTTTTGGTAGTGTCCAAATACAGTTAACATCATTTTCATTCTGTGCGATCATGTATTTCATAGGAAAGAAAAGTATGAAATGAGTTTCATTCGGAACACTATGTCTTGACTTTGAAGACAAGGTATATATAATTCTGAGCAAGGGGATTGCAGGTTAAAAAAGGATAACAAAGAACCTTTCTCAATATATTATTAAATGCCATAAAACGAAGCAATATTTAAGCTGTATTAAATAATTTTATGATGTCCTTTGTTTGTGAAAGGGACTTTACATTCGCATATATGCATGGAGTTCAAACTGTCACTTATAGCCAGGCACTGGTGGCTCAAACCTGTAATCCTAGCACCTCTCAGGAGGCTAAGATCTGAGGATTGCTGATTGAAGCCAGCCGGGGCTGGAAAGTCAGTTGAGACTCTTATCTTCAATTAGTTAAATCCCTCTAAAAATAGTCTAGAAGTGGCTCAAGTGACAGAACACTAGCCTTGAGCACAAAAGCTCAGAAACAGTGCCCAGGACTGGTGCGCACGCGCGTGCACACGTGCACACACACACACACACACACACACACACACACACACACACACACAGTGTTACTTATAGCTAGGCATAGGATTACAGAACTCAACTCAGGTCCTAAGGACCATTTTTTGGTTCAGAAAAACCAACTGTCACTCAGGTACCCTCAGAAAGTCCCGAAGCAGACACCAAGTGTTCTACCTGCTCCCTTCCAGGTCACACACATAGGTCACCACTGGAGACCAGTCAAAGGCCCCTGGCTCCTTCTTTAACCATTTCTTCAGCTCCTGTAGGTTCTGATCCACATAGTCAGTGACTATGATCTCCTTGAAGGACTGACAAGCGGAGAGGAGCTGATAGATGGTGGGGCCAGAGCCAATGTCAATTAGGAGGTCTCCTTTGACATCACCTGGTACAATGAGAAAGAAGGGAGTCAGGTGATAGAACCGTGGAGAGAACTGTTTTTCCATTGTCCTTGCTGGGATTGTGACAGAGATCCTCAAAGACAGACGGACACGCTATACACCACTCTCCCTGCGAGTCCCTGTGAAAAACATCTTTTCAGTTTCTGTTTTGGAAACAGAAAGCAAAAAAGCCACTTAAGATAATATGAGGTAATTAAATCCCTATGTCAGATGCCAAGTCATTTAAATTTCTATATTCACCAAGCCCCCAAAATAGATTCTAGCTGCCAGGATTCCAATTTGAATTAAGGAGTTAAGTGAATAAAGTATTAGGTTCCTCACTGATGATATTTTGCAGTTTTGGAAAAAGGGAGATATTGGCTATACATTTACTAAAGTCATCTCCCTCACCTCCCGGAAAGGTTAATGATTATTTTGCTGAATGTTTTAAATGGAAGTTACCAAAGGTAGCCCAGTTTAGAGAATTAATAAGTTAATAAATGTTGGCTTTTCTAATTTGTTCTATAACACTCTCATACTTTTTTTATTATTATAAAGTATCTATTTCTCAAGTTAACAGCTTAGATCTTTTTCCCATACCTTTTACTTTCAGATTTAGAGTTCAGGTTAATTCAGATTAACATTCTACACATAATAATGGATTATATGTTTAAAGTCTAAGCTACTTTAAAATTTCAGCATTCTTATGATTTGATCGGCTATATTCTTCAAGCAATTTAAAATATCTAATAGATTAGTATTGTGTGTGTGTGTGTGTTCATGCACACGTGAGTGCACGCTCACACACCAGTACAGGGGCTTGAACTCAGGTCCCTTAGCTTTCTTTGCTCAATTCTACTGCTTCACCACTTGAGCCACAGCTCCATTTCTGGCTTTTTGGTGGTTAATTGGAGATAAGAGTCTCATTAACTTGGCTCATTTTGAACCATGATCCTTAGATCTCAGCCTCCTAAGTAGCTAGAATTATAGGCATGAGCCACCTTACAGGTGCCTGACCAGATAGGTTTTATCTTTAAAGGCCTCCTCACTTCTCATATTACTCCCCAGGCCCAGGATGGAAGCATGTTTTTCTAGGAAAGAAAAAAGCAATCTACAGCTGGTGTACAGACCCCTAATCCCAAAAGGCTTCTATTGAACAATGAAAATACTACTTGCAAATAACTTGGGGGAAAGCTAATTTTTTGTTTCAAAATTGAGATTTTATAATGACTTCCCCTTCCCCCCTCCAAAGACAAGTACTCAGTTCTGAAGATTCTCCTCCCATGGGTAACACAACATTCCTTTCGGTTAAGAATTAAGTATCAGACTCCATTTCTTAGGCGGCCCATTGAAGTTAAGAGCCTCCTTGGAACCACCTAGCAAATCAGTGTAAACTCAGGGACAGCATGCTGCCTGCTAGCATCCTGTTGGCATGACCACACAGGTGTAGAAGCACTGGGTAAACTACAAAGTAGCTAAGCCAACAGCAGTTGGTTTTTTTTTTTTTAATATAATTTCGTTGTTATCAGTAAGTTGTTGTACAGAAGAGTTAACATTCCCTAAGTTAGGTAATGAATACGGTTCTTTTTGGATAATGTCGCCACTTCCTCTGCTTTCCCTTAGTTTCCCCCTCCTGTTCCTGTCTACAAGTTGCATAGTTCACTTTCCACGTGGTTGTATTCTCAATACCATGACTCCACTCCCTTTGCACCCCCCAAGACAGAAACAAAAGCAAAAAACGAGCACCAACAATAACAACAATAAAAGAACTATGTTTTCATTTCCTGAAATTTGTTTAACAGCATTTTAAATGTTTAGCGTTGTTATACTGTTGGGTTCTTCCCCTAAGACCATCCTGCTTTATTCTGTTTGTGTGTGTATGCCTAGAGTCCTATATGTGTTAACATGTCCAGCTCTAGTTCAGATCTAGCTCCCACATAGGAGAGAAAACATGTGTTCTTTGCTTCTCTGGCTTACCCTACTTAACACGATTTGTTCTAGGTCTGTCCATTTCCCTGAAAATGACATAATCTTATTCTTTATAATGGATGAGTAAAGTTCCATTGTGTATAGGAACTACATTTAATCTCTCATAGGACATCTGGGCTATTTCCATAACAATGTTAGTTTTTTGGGTTTCTCTTTCTTTCTTTCTTTCTTTTTCTCTTTCTTTTTCTTTTCTTTCTTTCCTTCTTTCTTTCTTTCTTTCTTTCTTTTTCTTTCTTTCTTTCTTCCTTCCTTCCTTCCTTCCTTTCTTTTCTCTCTCCTTTTTTTTTTTTGCCAGTCCTAGGGCTTAAACTCAGAACCTGGGCACTGTCCCTGACCCTGTTCATGCTCAAGACTAGCAGGCTACCACTTGAGCCACAATACTCAATTACTTCTAGCTTTTTCTGAATAGTTTATTGGAGATAAGAGACTCATGGACTTTCCTGCCTGGGCTGGCTTTGAACTGTGATCCTCAGATCTCAGCCTCCCGGGTAGCTAAGATTACAGGTATGAGCCACTGGTGTCTGGCTATCAACATTAGTTTTTAATCCTAATTAAATAAATAACTGATATCAAAGTGCTGTCAGAAAATGATGGCTAGACACAAACCCCATCTTGCCCCCCCCCCCAAAGCTTTTTTTCTTTTATCTTTGCCAGTCCTGGGGCTTAAACTCAGGGCCTTGGCACTGTCCTTCTTTTGTTCAAGGCTAACACTTGAGTCACAGCACCACTTCCGGCTTTTTCTGATGATATGGTACTGAGGAATCGAACCCAGAGCTCCATGCATGCTAGGTGAGCACTCTACCACTATTCCACATTCCCAGCCTCCCCAAAGCTTTTCTATGACTCACATTTAGGCAAGAGCCAGACAGACAATAGGAAAACTTACCCAAGCAGAATATCTTATAAAGGCTTCTCAGAAGATGCCTCAGAATTTGGTTTTCAGAAGAGTGTCTGGGCCCAAAGTTGTAATATTTTTCTAGGTAATCCCGAGGATTAAAGTGGCTGCGATATGTGTCTTTGGAAGTGAAGCTAGATTCCATTGTGACTCGATTGTGTGCCCAGCCCTCTATCCTTCCTTCTTCCTGTAGAAATCGTTATGTTCCAGAGTCTTCCCTCTGTCAGTTGAACCATCCCTTTGAGATAGATGTTTGGTTAAACACTAACAGAGGAAAATAGACCACAAATGTCTGACTCTTTCAGAAAGTGATGGATTCCTGGAGGAGCGAGCCTAGGAGAAGAGTGTGGCAAAGGGCAGGCCAGGAGCTCTGTGCCTTGTTCTACTGGGTGACAATCGGCTGCAAAGGCTGAAGACCAAAGAAATCACCTGGGCTCATCAGGAGAAATGATTCTTGTTGATGGACCTCTAAGTTCAGAGAGAGGGGTCAGTTCTGAGCAGTAGCATTCTTCTCTTTTTTACAGTGATGTCTCCAGAAAACAGAGTTGCAAAGAAGGATTTACACTGAAGCATGTATCAGGTGCTGGTGGCTCGTACTTGTAATCCTACCTCTCAGAGGTTGAGATTTAGAGATCATGGCTTAAAGCCATCCCAGCATCAAAAGTCTATGAGACTCATAAGAATGGATCTGTAGTTCAAGTGGTAGAGCACCATCCTTGAGTTAAAAAAAGAAAAATCTAAGGAGATGGGTGCTCACACCTGTAATCCTAGCTATTCAGGAGGCTGAGATCTGAGAATCAAGGTTCAAGGTCAACCTGGGCAGGAAAATCCATGAGACTCTTAGCTTCCAGCTAACCACTAGTAAATAGGAAGTAGTGCTGTGGCTCCAAGTGGTGAAGCACTAGCCCTGAGCAGAAGAGCTCAGGGACAGTGCCCAGGCCCCAAGTTCAAGCTCCACAACTGACAAAAGAAAGAAAAAAGCTGAGGGATAGCGGGAAGGCCCTGAGTTCAAGCTCCAGGACCTGTACCACACACACACACACACACACACACACACACACACACACACACACACACACACACACACACACACACACACACACACACACACACACACACACACACAATTAAGAAAAGGGGGAAACAAGGCGTAGGAAATGTGTTCAGAGCTGAGGAATGTTGGCTCAAGAATGCATCGCATCTGGAAAGAGTAATTGAAAACACCTGGGAAGGCTTGCTGTGAAGTCTAGGCCATCCAGCAATCCTATAACTCTCCTTGAGTCCTGATACTACCAGTGGGGGCAGGGAGGGGGGAGGAGAGGAGGAGAGAATGCTCCAATTTTAGACAGCACAAAAATAATATAATCAGACTGCATTAGCTTCCAAATCCATAGGGGAAGGGAAATGGAGTGACAAAATAATATCAATTTAGAAGCAAGCAAGAGGAGCTGGAGGTGTGGGTCAGTGGTAAAGCCCCTGCCTAGCAACTAGGAGGCCACCAGTTCAAACCTCAGGGCCACCATGGGGGAAACAAAAGAACGAAGCAAGAATGGAAAGAAAAACGCCATCTGTCAGGTCTCCAAGGCCTCACAGGGAATTGACTCTCACACATGTGAGAGTCAGGAAAAGCAAGTGGTATCTGGCTCTCTGGCTTTTTTTTTTATGCTTATGTGGTGCTGAGGAATCGAACCCAGGGCCTCATGCATGCAAGGCAAGCGCTCTACCACTGAGCCACCTTCCCAGCAAGCAAGCAGTATCTGAATAGCAGGATTCTTCAGATGGCACCCAGTGCCATACAGCTGTGAGGATGTTTGGGCCTCTGTAAGATGATTAGGTCACAAGGGAAAAGCCCTCCAAATGGCACAAGCGAGGGAGCTTGCCTGGACCTTCCACTCTAACAACATCAGGAAGTCAGGAAATGGTCTCCACCCACACTGGCCCAGTTCCTTGACATCAGACTGGATCTCAGCTTCTAGAAGGCTGACAAATAAATTTCTGTTGCTTCTAACCCACCCAGTTTATGGCCGCTTGTGATAGCTACAGGAGTGGAACTGAGACACCTACACATCTGTTTCAAGAATACATTTGGGCCTTTAATAAACCACTACATGCTAGCTCATAAAGCAAGACTCAACAGCCTTCAACGGACTCGTGCAGTATAGTAGTTTCTTAGCTCAATGGATTTAAGCTAAAAGACCAACAGAAATAAAAGTCATGAGAATACTCATGTTTGTTTGAGAATGAAGAAACATATCAGTAAACCCATAGTTGAAAGAAGTCAGGATGGAAAATATTTTGAACGGAGCAGTAATAAAAAATAACTAATTAAAAAATGTGTGGGCTACAGTTAAAATGGAAGGGAACTCTTACTTCTCAAAATTGTATACTAGAGAAGGGGATGAAAATTAAGGCGCTGAAGAAGTTAGAAAAGTAAAAGTAAAATGAAGGAAGAAAATAATGGAAAACAGACCATCTAAGCTACAATAGAGAGGAAAATGAGACCTAAAAGTCGATGCTCTGGAAATTCACATCGTGATTGCATTTCTGGCCAGAACAGTCAAGAGAAACAAAATGAAAATGTCATTGTCCAATGCCAGAAATGAAGAGAGGAAAATAGCAGACGATTGCAGACATCTCAAAGATAGCAAGAAAGTCAGGATTACTACTGTAATCCTGCTAGCTCAGGAGGCTGAGTGCTGAGGATCACAGTTCAAAGCTAGCCCAGACAGGAAAGTCTGTGAGACTCTCATCTCCAATGAACTACTCAGCAAAGGCTGGAGATGGCCAGAAGTAGGTCTTGCAGGCATGTGTTACATATTCACTTAGGATCTTAAAATTTTCAACTAATTTATTGGTAATCTTTTGTTATCTTTCTTTTCTTTTCTTTTTTTTTCCAGTCTAAGGCTAGAACTCTAGGCTTGGGCAATGTCTCTGGGCTCTTTTTGCTCAAGCAGCACTCTACCACCTTGAGCCACAGCACCACTTCCTTAATTTTCATTTTTATCCATACTGAGATTAGAACAATTAGCCCTTTGTGCCTTAGTTACTTTTCAGATAGAGTCCCATGCTTCTACTTAGGCTAGCTTTGGAGACCGATCCTCCTGTGCCTCCCAGGTAACTGGAATTATATGTATGCCTTACTATGCTCAACCCAAACTTTACAATAGTTTTATGAGTTAAGGACTATATCCCTGTTTGGTATATGAGGAAACGGAGGCACAGATAACCTGCCCAGGCCACACTTGTAGATAGCGATACAGCAGAGGGCTGTTTTAGACTAGTTCTAATCAAGAGCCTATTCTTTTAGAAGCTGTATTATAACCAAGGTGGTGAGTGCTAGCATAATAGGTGATTTATCACTAACAAAACAATTAATGGGACTGGAGGCATGGCTCAAGTGATAATACACTAGTCATGAACAACTGAGCAAGTGTGCAAAGCCTTGAGTTTAAGCTTTGGTACTCTCACCAAAAAAAAAAAAAAAATAGTAAAAATAACTATTGCTAATCATAGCATTTTCATATTGTAGAAGAAATACCCTCTGGTTTGTTCAATAGCTTCAGAATTTTTAATAAGCTCAAGTTTAATATTCATCTATAATAATAATTTCTTGCCAAACTGAAAAGAAAATGAGACTACCTAAATCTGCTAGGGAACATGCATACAAATCCCATTGGCTATCATACTTAATGACAAAACATTTGAAAACTTTCTGCCTGACATGAGGCTAGAGATAAAAATCAATTTTATTCAAAATTCTGCTAGAGATGGACAACTACAGGAGGTGGGAAAAAGAAACAAAATTAAAAACCCTATAGGAATTAGAAAGCAAAAGATAAATCTGTTATCAACAAATGATGTGATGGTTCCTAACAGAAAATGAAAAGTAAATTCCTGGAAATAACAAATAGTTCAGCAGAAGTTCCAGATGCAAATAAAAAAACTACAGAAAAAAATCAAATTTATTTCTACTAAGCAACCATTATAAAATGAAGTTTCAAACACACTTCTTCCCCTCACAATGACATTAAAAAACATGAAGTGCCTAGGAATAAATCCAACAAAATATGTACAAGGCTTTTAATAGAGAAAATTATAAAATTTTATTGCAGGACACTAAAGAAGATCTAAATAAATGGAGAAAAATACTACTTGGTGGACTGGAGGACTCAAAGTTGTAAAGATGCCATCGCTATCCAAATTGATTTAAAACACTCACTAAAATCCCAATTAAAATCCCAATAGGTTTCTGTGTGTGTGTGTGTGTGTGTGTGTGTGTGTGTGTGTGAGACTCGACAAGCTGGCTCTAAAAAATTATATGGCCAGGAGTAGCTACTCGTTGAGAAGAAAAAAAAGGTGGGAGGACTTGCTCTACTAGATAAAAAAATACTTATTATAAAGTCATAGTAATTAAGACATGGGATATTGGCACTAGAGAAATAGACCTATGGACCAGGGCAGGGGGACCGTGAACAGATCCAAGCCTTTCTGCATATCTGATCTATGGCAGGGGTGACAACTCAGATCATGGAGAAGGAGAGAGACTTGCCACAAACAGTGTTGAGATAACCGGGTGTCCATAGAGAGGAAAATTGAATTAGAACTCCCTACCTTTGCACCGCACACAAAAATGAGTGACAGCTTATTAGCAAGCCGTACACGAAGGGCAAAATGATATAAAGATTTTAGAAGGGGACACAGAAGAATAGCTATATAACCTTGGGCAAAAGGAAAGGATTTCTTAAACCAGACACCAAACTCATGAATTGTAAATGAAAGATTTGTCAATTTGAATGTAAGACAATGAAGAAGTTGGGTTCCAAGGATAATTTGCAAGACTGAAGAGACAATCCACAGAGTGGAGAAAAGACATTTACCACACATAAAACTGACAAAGGGGATCTCAAACTGATGAAGAACTTGCATGCTCAACATGAAAAGGAAGATGAAAGCAGGAGACTTGAACGGTCTCTATATAACAGAGAGAACTCAAATGAAGCTATGAAAGGGTATTTGATCTCATCAGTGAAATACAAGGAAACCACAACAAAACACTATTACGCAGCTGTCAAATGGTATCTGACCAACACAAGGGTTAGCTGTGTTTCTGGTGGATCTATCAGTGAGGTACCTTGAGCAGTAAATTGTGGAGTGTGCATATACACCCTACCCAGCAGTGACACATTGAGGTACGTGCT